CGGCAGGAGACTGGCTGCGGGCGGCCGCGAGCAGGTGCCGCGGGGCGAGCGGCAGGGCTGAGGAGCGCGCACCGCCGCTGCGCCCGCTACCACATCCAGCCGGACCGCCGGGGCCGGGGCGTGGCACCGGGTCTCTCACCTGCTCCCCTGTGCGTGGGATTGGGACTGGGCTGAGGACAGACCCTGCCCCCCCCAGCAGCTGCTTCACATCCGCCTTCACCTGCTCGGGCACTAAGAGCCAGGCCTAGACCTGGTTCCTACCTGAGCCCTTTTTGCCCAGGGCGTCCCCACCCCTCTGGGGCAGAAATCCCCTTGTGCTTCTCCATATCTCAGGAGCCTACCCAGCAGATGGGGAAGGACTGCTGTCCAGTCTGCCTCCCCACCTCTGTGATCATTGCTTGGGTTCAGATGAGCCCCAGAGCAGAGCCGGTGGTGCACAATGCAGGCGAAGAGTCAGCCCAGCAATGTACTCTAGATCATGAGCACCCCTGTAATCACTGTGGTGAAATACGTGTGTAGATAGCACAGAGGAACTTCCCTGTGTTAGGGCCACTTTATTTAAAGGCAGATTTTCCTGAGGCCTTGCTGCACAGGACAGTTAGGCCAGTATAAGTACAACTGTGAGATTAAACCATTATAGTGGAATGACTCCCATGGGGGCACATCCTGAGAGCAGAAGTGTGTGCAAGTGTTGTAATTTTTGCCAGTTTAGCTTATGTTGTTGCGAAGACATTTAAACTAAAAACATAAAAGACATTTTTATACCAGGACAGGTGTATCCACATGAGGGTTGTCCTGATGTGGCTAGGCTATTATAGTCAGTAAAGCTTTCCCATATAGACAAAGTGCCTGATGCTGATAAAGGCAGGCACAGAAAGAATGACTTAGGTCTGTCAGTGGCCAGTGGAATAAACACAGATCATGTCAGAGGACACATCTGAGTGTGGCTACTAAGATTTTGGAACTGTGATCCTAACGTTTTCAGAATATACTTAAGTTTATTAGAAAGAAATGAAAGCCTGCTCTTTCCCCCAAGTCCAGGTCCTGTCTGAAATTTGTTGACATCTGTTTTCAGAGAGTGAGTGGTTCAAAAGGGACAGGTGCTTTATAAAGAGGGAGCATAATTTTATGGGCTGTGTCTGAGAATGATTTAAGGCAGCAAGTTTTGCCTCCTGATCTCTCTTCGTTATTAACCTACGAGGAAAGGAGGTGCTCTCTAGTCTGGCTCAGATTCTGTTCTGCACTCCAATGATCTGTGGTTCTTTCCCCACAGAGGGTTCTACCCAAATGGTTTTGGGAAGCCTGTGAGAAGGGTAAAGAGGATGTCTGTGATGAGTCTCAGTCCTTCTGTATCTAGAGACAGACTGAGCCTGTACCAGGGTAACCTCTGGGTGAAATGGTTAGCTTTCCAACCTCCTGACAAAGGGATGGACTTTTTCCTCTGACCTCTTTCAATCTCTCTGGCTTCAGCTCATTGCAGTGGGGACTGAGATAGCAATAGGGAGTCCATCAGAGAAATAGTTGTGGGGTGCTGCAGTAAAACCTCTAAAATAAAACAAGTTGAGTAGTGAAGATCTAGATTAAAGGGATGGAACAAGTTCTGTTTGCCAGCTATGGATTTCTGCCTGGGAGACTTGGAAGGGATTCTGGAAGAAAGGTATGTGCAGTGTTTGTTCAGATGCAGTTTGATCCTCCACCCCAAAGGCAGGCACCTGCCTGACATCTAGGAGCTTTTAAATCCAAACACTGTGGCTAGTTAAAACAAAACTAGACTTTTCAATGTGCCTAATGTTCAAACCCTGTCCAACTCCATGCATATGTCTAGTGGTCCATACAGGGAGAGTTACCCTGTCCTGCTACCTGTGATCTGGGCTAGATCACTGCTGTGGGATAAGTAACTCTGCCCCAGGTTACTATGGCTCTGGCTCTCAAGTGAGTGGTGACACACAAGGACAGTGTGAGGACAGTAATTCTCCCCGCCCTTCAGTAATAATCCTCTCATTTTGCTCTCTCCCTACCTTCCTCAAGTGGATGAGGCCTACTAACCATTCTTGGTGCCTGGGAAGCACAGTGGTTATTTAAGAGAAGATCATTTCACCATGGGAAGGTCTGGAGAGGAGCCCAGAGCCTTTCCTAAGGAGGACAAAGTGGTGTTCTCCTGGCAAATGCTTTCTTATTAAAACTCAAGTGTGGGATGTGACATCTTTTTACTGGTGCAGCATAATGTGCTCGTTATCTTTCTCTGTCTCTCTTTCAGTTGTAATACAATGCTGACTCATCCTAAATGGATTGCAGGCCCACTGAGAGTTGAGGAACTGACCTAACATCTGGATCCAAGTATCTGGGAGAGGAATTCCCTAGCATGGGGCTTTTGTTCCTTATTTGTCTTTTCTTGGAGTTTGATCTCCCCGGAGTTTTTTGTAGTACATGGGAATGCCCACGGATCTCTTACAAAGCTATGAGGAACTACACTGTGGAGTACAAGCTACCCAACTTCATCACTGACAGCCCCATCCAGAATATTGTCACCTATGAGGATCCAAGTGGTGCAAGTGCCATCTTTGTGGCAGTACGGAATAAGATCTATGTGTTGAGCCCAGAGCTGGCAACTCTGGATGTCATTGTGACTGGCCCCATGGGCAGTGATCAATGTAAGATCTGTGCTCTTTGCCCAGGGACAGCAGGTGCTCTGCAGCGTGAAGACACGGATAATATAGTTTTGGTGCTGGACCCATCTGAACCATGGCTTTACAGCTGTGGGACTTCCCAACATGGCCTGTGTTTCCAGCATGAACTGGAAACCCAGGACAGCTTAGTTCTGGTTAAAGTCTCTCACTGCTTGTATGGAAAACAGCAGAACAGCCCTTTGAAATGCCCTGACTGTGTGGCCAGTCCCTTGGGGACTAGGGTTCTGGTTACTGAAGACTCCCATGTTTCCTACTTCTACATTGCCTCCACCATCAACAGCAGCATAGCTGAGAAATACAATCCCAAATCAGTGTCTGTCCGTAGACCAAAGGGCACTTCAGATGGGTTCTCCCCTGACTTCCACTCCCTAACTGTGAGGCCTGAATACCAAGACACTTATCCCATTGACTATGTATATGCATTCAGGGACCAGGCCTTTGTCTATTTCCTGACAGTTCAAAAGGAAAATCCCACATCCAAGGCATACCACACGAGGATAGTGCGGCTGAGAGCTGATGAGCATGACATGCAGCACTACCGTGAGTTGATACTGGATTGCCGTTTTGAGTCTAAACGGAGGCGGAAGAGGAGCTCAGCAGATCGGGTATACAAACGTGATGTGACTTTCAATGTCCTGCAAGCTGCTTATGCCACTCAGGCAGGTTCCAAACTGGCTCATGAAATTAGCATCAATGATACAGACCTGGTTTTGTTTGGTACCTTTGCTGAAAGTGAAGCAGAGAATGCGATGCCACAGAAATATTCAGCAGTGTGCATCTTCCCAGTACGCATGATCAACCAGGCCATCAAGGATGGGATGAACAAATGCTGTGGCTCTGACAAGCATGATATCTTACGAGGCCTGACTTTTTACCAGGAAAAAGAGTACTGCCTGCACAGCGTGAGTCCCCTGTGAATGGTGCCCTTTGCCTTACCCTGGTTCCTCTTTAAGAAAGGGGTTTCTTGGAAGTGGGCCATCTGGGATAGAATAGGAGCCATCACCATTTGCAGTGCATCCCTACAACCCAAACTGAGCTTCAGCTTCTGAGGCTTAGCAGTTTGGTTAGTGGGTCCCTGTTCCTTCCTGTAGCTTGGTCTCTGTAAGGGCACCTACACTGCATTAGACAATGCTAGGAAGTGCCATGAAGAAAACATGCCCTGCCCTCTCACTCCCATTCTGTGCACACCACAGGCTGAAAGTTATCATGTACCTGGTTTAGAGGTGCACCCAGTGACTCTCAGGTTGATAAGCAGCAGCTCAAGGCTTGTCCTTTGCTACACCAACAGTAGCTACATGATATTTTTTGGAATGTGGTGCACATAGAGCAGGATGGAGTGGATGGGACATATTTTCACCAGCCTTGGGTGCTGATTTAATGGGGGCACAAAAATAGCAGCCCCTCTGTCAGCCCTGCACTGCCGCTGGCGTTAGCAACTCCACCACTGCCACTATCTCATGTGTTGCTGCCACCCAGAGCATAGAACTGTCCAGCTACACTTCTGAGATAGACACCCTGTTTCCTGGCTTGGTACATGCTGCAGTTTCAGTGAGAGACTTTTCTGGGCTAGGGACAGACACTGAAAAATCCTGAGCCTGAATTGATTCAGCCTTTGCAGGTTAATTTAATGTGGCTAGGCTGAACCAGTTTGCAACTGTACAGAATGTCCTCTGGACTGAATAAATGTAGGCACGTGTCTGAGATGGCTCAGGCTCGAAGCTTGGGGGGCATTAGAGCAGCCCTCCCTTCCCTTCTACAGGGCTGAGCTGAGGTGGGGGTGTGTCCAGGCCCTGGCAGGACACTCTGATTAGGGAGGAGTTTCCCCCCTCGAGGCTCCTGTCCAGGGAGGGAGCCAGCAGGAAGTTGAGGTGCTAAATGCTGTGTTATCATCAAGCAAACAAAACCCTCTCTCATTAGTTCAAGCTTTTCTTAAACAACTTTTTCCAAGGAAGAAAGGGAGGAACATTACCAGGTGACCTGTTGATTAGCTCCAGAAAGCCCTAAGTGGACACTGTCTTATCTGCCTTTGTCCTGTCTGAGGCATGCAGACACCTCTCAGCATTAGCTAGCATACCACATGCTGACTGTGGTCTGTGCTATGGGAGAGGGAAGGGGAGAAATCCTTGCATGAGCAGGGTGGTGGGGGGTGGAGGTGGGGCAAGGGGAAGCCAGGCAGAGGGGCGTGGCTGGCCCTGGTCTGCAGTAGTGAGCCCCGCCCAGGGCTGCAAAGCATCTGGCATGCTGGAGGACTCTGGTTTAAGTTAAACCAGGAAGGGGTCTGGAATAGACATTGCATAAAACGGTTTGACCCAAATCAGTTAAATCTGATACTACATTCAACTAGGTTTATTTCAAACTGGCTTCAGCCATTTTCAAACTGGTTTATGTGCACTGAAATGTCTGTTCTGTTCAAAGTTTAAACCAGTTTCTGATCACTTAAACTGGTTTATGTGTAATGTCTGTCCCTAGTGTTTAGTAATTTGAAGTTCCTGAGATCTCAGAGCCTTTTTCCTCGTGGAAAATCCAGTCTGGGTTGGCAGACTGTAAAGGCCACAGTAAGTATCCACATGCAGAAGTGTGATGAGTGCTGAAGCACTGCAAAAGTTTGGGGCTGAATAGTTTATTTGCAAAACATGCAATTTGGGGTCTCCTGAAATATTGATGAGTTTACGCTGAATTAAGCAAAATATTTTGGATGAATAAATGGGAAGAGAAAATTCTGCAAAACTTGAAACGTATTGTTTTAACCAGTTTTTGAATGAAATATTTTGGTTTCCTGTTTTGAAACATTGATAATTGGCTTGATTTGTTTTTTTTTAAAAAATGGTTAAAATAATACCTAAAAATGAAGCAAAAGGCTTTGTTGCACTCGGAATGAATTTCTTCTGATTTGTTTCTCTTGGGTGGCTGAATAAAAGATTAATAATTTACCCATCTCTAGTTAGCACAGAGGGAGTATAAAGTGGTGTTCCTGTTGCAGCAGACTCTCTAATGATTATCTAGCATTACATTGTCTTTGAACTGAGCTTGTTGCATAGCACACTCACTCCCATGAAGGGTCAACTTACACTAAGACTTCTGGCCAATGAGCATGCTTGCATTTTATGGTATACTGGAGTGGCTTTCTTTCTGCCTTCTTATAGTTTTCCAGGCCTAAATCCTTCTCTTCTGTCCAAGCTCCACCCCCTGCCATTGAGGTTTGGTTTAATATTGTTCTACACAATTAAGTATACATGAGCTGGGATTGCACAATCTCTTCAGTTTCATCACTGCCTGGCAGGGTTTTAGCATATAACTGTGCCCTCTCTGTGCTGCTTTTATTTTTCTGAGAGGGTCCCAGCCTACTGTATTAGCAAGTCCCCAGTGCTTGGCATTAAAATAGCACTTTGCATGTTTAATGCCTTACAAGATCATTGACAAGTCCTCCCAAAGCCCAAGTAAGTACCTTGTTCACCACTTTCATTTTCCAGAAGGGGAAAGCTGAGGTGGAAGGCATGGATCTGACTTTCCCAGGACCCATTCAGTAAGTCATTGTCAGGACCAGGATTAGAATCTGTGACTGCCTGGCTCCAACCCTCTGGCCAGCACTCCAGTCCATGTTTGCCTGTATCCCCTTTACGATGCCTTGGCTATTGCTTTATTAAGAGAATTTTACCAACTCTTGGCTTGTTCCTTGTACTTTTGAGTACCTCTCTGCCTGTGAACCCAGGACAGTAGAAACTTGTCATAAAAATGTACTCTAGATGACAAACTTATGTTGAGGGCAAAGCCAGTCATGTGCCCACCCAGTTCATGCTAATGGATGTTAGCTCTTGCTGTCTTTTGTGTACCCATAGGCTGGTAACAATCTGTCAGAAGGGATGAGTCTTGTCTTATTTGTCATTTCCTTCATTCTACTAATGTGCTGCAAGTGGCTCCCTTCCTGCCCCCACTTCTCTTGGCTTTATTTTTTTCTGGAGTTATGCAAGTGAGAAGTTCAACCACTCGTTTTGGGCACTGTGGTCTGTGTGCTGGGTATATGCCAGCTGGTATATGCTCAAAGCTTTGTGTGCAGACTTTTGAAATGTGAGTCCCTGGGATTTCATGGGAGTTCCTGGGAATCCCTTTGGTCTGGCTAGGCAGTGCTCACCTCAAGGGAGCACTTTGATGTGTGGTCTTGCCATGAGGAGGGACTCAGTAAGGCCAGCATCCCAGTTTAAAGGGAAATTCAGCAGTTTAACATTCTGAGCCATGCTGTATTGGTATGTGGCCAAAGAGC